TGCTTCTAATCCAAAGCCTGAAACACATTACTCTGTTTTGGTTGGGTGCGTGGACTTCATCGAGAATGCTATTGATTGAAGAATGAATTTGGGCTGCTTAATATATTGGGCCCAGGGGTGCTTTGTCTTGTAGTTTGGATAGATAGATGGGTAATCTTTGATAAATACGAAAAAGTGCATTGGTATATGATTTTTACTTTTTATTTTTAATTTAAAGAATATTTATTAAAAATAAAAAATAAAAATTTAGATTTATACATTTTAAAGATAAATTTTATATTTTTTTATAAATAAATATGATTATTATATATATTATATATAGATCCTTGTCACCAAGTAGACTTTCCATTATCAAATGCTTTGAATTTAATTCAATATTTTTCACAAAAAAATAAAAAAAGAATTTTACATTGTTGCTATGAAAAATAAAAAATCTCATCAGTAAGACTGTGTTCTTTTTTTATTTTTTTTAACACGATGTCATAATTTTATATCCTCTTTTAGTTTAAATTGATTTTAACCGTTGATACAACATTTACAAATAATAATAACATGATTTGTTATGTGTCGAATTAAAATGTGAAAAATTTATTCTGTACTTTGAAAATATCAAATTATTTATTGTTTTTTAAAACGTCAAATTTATTTTCAATTTCAGAGTAATCAATAGTAACTATATAAGGAAATATATTACTTTTTCATTGCATTTAAATCCCTATCTTTACAATTTTATAGCAAATTCAACATTTTCCTCCTTTAGCATCTAATTTGTCTATTAATTCATCTAGGGATGACAAAGAGTTAGCGGGTTATCCGGTTAACATGATTAATAAACATATCATGTTTTAATTGATCTATTTAACCCGAATTGTTCTAAATTTATTATCATTTACAATCTCTACGTTTTTACTTTATGAATAAAAAATTTTAATTTCTCCAATTATTTTTAACTGTATTACTTTTTTTTATTATTGTTATACCAAAGTACATTCAAGCAATCACCCATTATCAGCTAATATATGTACATATGAAAATCAAATACCTCGTAAGTGATTAGGGCATATTGGTTAAAAAAAGTGCAGTGAAAGACAAAAAAAAAAAAAAAAAAAAAGGTCGTGCATTTTGACATGAAAAAAGAAAAAAGTATGTGGTATAGCTTTTTTTTTTTTAATAGAAAGTAGATGATGGTTTGATTGGGGAAATGAGATAAATATTTTTTAGAGTGCATGAGTTTGAATTTCTACCTTTTATTATCAATTAATATAATTTTTAATTAAATAATTAAATTAGTCAAAATATATTAATTAAAAAAATAAAGAGTAAAAATTTAGACTCATTAAGTTCAACAATTTTCTCGGTTTTTAATTTGCATGTGATATGGTACTTGGGGTTTGGAGTAAAGAACCCAATCGAGTGTGTTCGACGCCAATAGGTGAAAACCTTGGCCAAATTTCTTCTTCTTCTTCTTCTTTTCCTTTCTTTTTTTTTTTTTTTTTGGGACACTTTTTCACAAAACTAGTAAAATGAATCAATAAATCAACAAGAGAGAGAAGATAGGAAGAATAACCATATCTTTCCCATCTTCTTTGAAAAATACACAGCATTACATTGGTTCACGAAAATTTGGTTGGCCAGACCATACCTCAAGCTGTTATATATGCAGTAAATTGCAGACACAGAGAATGTCCCTACCTTCAGAAAAGGTCTGCAAGATGCAAAGTGCAATGCTATCTTGGAAAAGGTGTGGTTGATAATATAATTGTTATATATATATATATATATACACACACACACACACACACACGTTTGTGATGCAAGATTGAACCCGCAGTCCTCTTAAATTCGAATCCCGTCCTATTTTATTCCATTCCGTTTGACCTGGTGTTAGTATAAGATATCATAAAAAGTAAGTTTGATCTAGTTACATTGATTAGGTATCATCACCTTTAGTAATTCGACCAAAACAAACTAGCGAACTAGCGTCCAAGAGCACGAAATCCAAATCAAGTGACCTTTCGACGAATAATGCATATAACCACCAAAAATTATGAAAATAAAGAATAAAAAGTAAGCACTAATAGGGTACGTACCAGTTGGGATTCTGATGCTTAAGCCAAGTAAATAATCACAACCAGACAAAGATTCAGTTAGGGCTCGCAATGCAGGTAGTGACACGACGACACGATTTAAAACCCGTACGAAGTTAGCGGGTTTGAGTTTATTATAAATGGGTTTGGGTCATAATCGGGTTAACACGATTTACACGATTAATAAATAAATTTGATTAGGATTGACCTCCTAACACGAAGTGACACGATTAACTGTGTCATATACAATCTAATGATATGTGATATAATATGAAAGTTTATATGATATATTAAATACAAATAATGTGAATTTTAATATTTGTAGGTAAAATTCATTTATTTTTCTTGAAGGAAAAGATAAATTGACCAATAAACATGTTAAACCTATTTTGACCATATTAAATAAGTCATTATTATATTAGTTATTTATTTAATATATTAATTTAAACGAGTTATGAAGGTTGATACGATTAACACAATTAATAAATAGGCCGCGTTTGGGTTGATATTTTTGATATGTTTAATAAACAGATCGTGTTTAGATTGATATTTTTTGACACGATTAATAAACAAGTTGACACGAATACGATTCACTAACACTAATTGCCACCCTTAGATTCAGTGTATGTAGAAGTGCGCACCTTGGCCATTCCGAGTGCGGGTATTAAGAGGCTACTGGACCAACCGGTAAATGGCTGCGGAGTTACAGCTATTGTTAATGAGGAAATTTCTTCTTCCTCATTAATGAGGAAATATATAGCATATATATTAAATGAAAATCATCAATTGGAAGTAAAATATAAAACTAATAAGTGAATCTACACTATTACATGACAGCTCTGATAATCTCGGCATGAATATTGATTATGAGTGCATCGCCCTTGAATAATTCATACGCATGAGTAAGAAAAATGCTGGAAAGTAATATGGTTTAGCATGCAAATTTTTTTTCCCACATCCTTGTCTCTGCTCGTAGCATGCAATTTTTTCATATACAAACTCCATAGGTGCAAGTTGCAGCAAATCCTACAGCCATTGGATTTTAAGAACTCAAGTTCAGACCACTTCAATCTAACGGCCATAAAGGCTTCTCTTCGTGGGAGTGACACGCATTGACTAATTTTTTTTTTCTTTTTATCAATGCACGAAACAAAGAACACGCATAATTCACGAGCATATGAACCACATGACCTTCAAAAGAAGGTAATATGAACACTCGTTAATTATTGCTCTTAGGTTGGACAGACTCAATCAATCTCTGTACATAAGATTTCAATGGGTGAGACATTAAGACCTCGTTCACTTCGTAGATTTGAGTTTTTAATTCAAGTTGAGATGTGACATTTTTTAAAAGTTTTTCATTATAGCAGAACAAGTTAGATGTGACATTTTTTGAAAATTTTTTACTGTAAAAACTTAAAACTGAAAACTCGAATCGATAAAATAAACGAGGCCTGAAATCCCATGTCACAAATCCAACTTTATGTTTAAGTTTCTAACCGTTTAGGGTACAATATAAACGTTGAATAATAATAGTGATCTAGTCCCATGTCACGGTGAGCAAAGCATGTGCAATAATTTTATTCACAAACAAACAAAAGCGAGAGTTGAAACCGCGTCAAATTTCTCACAGTGGGTAGAAATGGGTTCCACATATTGTTGTGTGTTTACTAGTCCTATGTTTTTACTTTACAATTCCAAAGAGCCCCACTCTCTGATTCCCAATTTCTGACAACAAAAGCATGAAATCTCCGTGCGTCCTCAAACACCCACATTGACTGGTCTCTTTCTCTCTCTTTAAAAACAAAAACAAAAAACAAAAAAAACAAAAAAAACCTAATTTGATTGTAAGGATATTAGGGCCCTTTGCCTTGAAATTTTTTAGAGCTAGTAAATTACCACTTAAACCTTTAATTTTACATATTACTTCTTGAATTTTAATACCATTTTTGCATAATGCCCAAATCCATTATGTTGTTATAGTCCTTTCCAAATTGAAACACCCTCGTGCACATGATACGATGTATATACTGTGCACTTTGAAAGAGCTTAAGTGATGTGCACATAATATTTCGAATCCATGTTGCTTGTATAATTTTAATATGTGGGTTTCAAACACTTCTATTAATTTAGACGTGTTCTATCTCACTTTAATAAATTCAAAAATAATTTTTTAAAGTTAAAAAATTAGGGAGTAATTTGTCAATTTAGGGGTTATTCTTTTATATTTTTGAATTAGAATGACTTGAATGATGATCTTGAATTGAGTTTGAGTTATAACTTGAGTTGAAGTTGTAACTTAAGTTTGTGTTTGGAACTTTAGATTGTGCACATTTGAGTAATGATTTGAATTGTAAATCTTTTTAAATTTGTGTTTGGGTGGGTCAAAACTTAAATTTGTATTTAGATAATATTTTAATAAAAACTCAATGGTGATGAAAAATTTTAATAGGGTATATGGGTGGAATTTTATTTGTTTTTTGTTGTGAATGCATAGAAAAAAAATCATCTAAATCAGAATTAAAACGAAAAAGTTATGACATTTTTAAGAATAGAAAAATACTGTTAATTAACTTGAGTTCGAGTTTATGAACTCAAGTTGAAGGAGAAATTTGAACTCGAGTTTAGTCCCAAACTCGAGTTTAAACTCGAATTCAAACTCAAATTTTACAAAAGAACATAAACTTGAATAAAATTGTAACTCGAGTTTAAACTTTTTTTAAATTTCATTCTAAAAGAATAACCCCTTAAAAAAAAATCCCCCACTAAAAAAAAAACTATTTTTCAGGAAAAAAATAATAATAATTTTTTTTAGTCAGACTAAGTCAAGCCTTCCAGAGCTCTCAAAACAGTTATTCTCTCCAGCTCCCAAAGGACAAACTTTGAACATATATGCTCACTCAGTATAACAAGAAAGTTCCTTTCTTCCTTCCTATTTCTCTCTCTCCTCTCTATTTGTCTCTCTCTGTTTTTCCTTGCTAGTCTTGCTCGCCTTGTGTTTGACATAATTACTCAGGTGCTTGTGCTTTGGCCATGGGAAGAGCTCCTTGTTGTGACAAAACCAAAGTGAAGAGAGGACCATGGTCTCCTGAAGAAGATGCCACTCTCAAGAACTACTTGGAAAAACATGGAACTGGTGGTAATTGGATTTCTCTCCCTCACAGAGCAGGTTTCTCTCTACTCTCTACTTCTTTCTAAAAGCTACTTCTGTTCTCTTTCTTTAATAATAATAACAATAAAAAGTTCATGCTTGAAAAGCAAATCTCTTTTAGCCCTCTCTCTCTCTCTCTCTCTCTCTCTCTACAGCATCTTTTTTTGTTTCATAACGATGGGGTTGCATGATGTTTTCTATAGGTCTTAACCGCTGTGGAAAAAGTTGTCGTTTGAGATGGCTGAATTATCTCAGGCCAGACATCAAGCATGGAGGTTTTACTGAAGAGGAAGATAGTGTGATTTGGACGCTTTACAACAGCATTGGAAGTAGGTAAGTGAATTTCTCTTCAAAAATTATGTCTACCCTTCTTTTGTATGTGAAAGTATTGATGGAATGTATGCTTTGTTTCATAGATTCTAAAGTAGTATTTCATGAAAATGATGTGTTTTTAAGGTGGTCTATCATAGCTTCCCAACTGCCTGGAAGAACAGACAATGATGTGAAGAACTATTGGAACACCAAGTTGAAGAAGAAACTATCAATGGCAGGAAGGACTAGTTTCAATCATACCACGGCCAATAACAATAACAATGAGACTACTAACAACAACATGACTTCTGATGATCACCTCAACTCGGGTCGGTTATCGTGCTCGGTTTCGAAAATCGGAAGCTCCGATCATCACGGGATCAACTCAGCTTGTTTTGATGCAAACTCAAGTACATTATTGCCTTATTTTGATCTCCAAGAGCCAAAGTTGGACCCAATTGATCAGTTTTGTTACTCAAATCCTGTGGAAGTTTCGGATTTTAGTGCAAATGGAAACACAAGTTCTAGCAATGTTTCAAGTCTTTCAACTTCATCTCCTTTGGGGTTTGATAACAATTTAGCTTCATGGGCTGGCAACATTGATGGAGGTTTGAATCATGAAGATGGGATTCTCATGGAGTTGGGGTTTGATTCTTATAATGATTCTCTTCTCAGTGGCTTTGGCTTTTAGGTAAATACCAAATGCAGTACTACTTTGTATTACTTCCTTATTAGGGTAATTACTGTCTTCTCTCCTGCTTAACCGGCTTAACAGTTTGTGGAAACCAAGGCTTGGTTCTGCGTCAAAGTGTGGACAGATCACTAACACTGATTCCGACCAAGGGAAAAAAATAATTGTCATGGAAATGCTGAATAGATCCTAGATTTGTTATGTCATGGAAATGTCGAATAGATCCTAGATTTGTTATTATTAATTAGTGGATATATAATAGTTCCATTATGTTAGTTTAATTTAGTTACTTTTCATGTGGTTCTTGTTATGTCCATTAATGCAAGTGAAATTAACTAAGATGTTGATTATGAACATATGTGTGAACCAAAGTAGTGGGGCAAAATGTGGGAGTACTCTAATTTCCCATTAATGTTTTTTTGGGAAATTTGTCAGAGAAGCCCTTTGACGTTTTTGTAAAGTTTGTTTTGATTGGTGGAAGTGAAATGTTTATGAATTTGAGGTATAAAGTCAAGAAAAAGAAAAAAAAATGTTTTTTTTTTTTACCTTCTGACTGGTCAGTGGTCACGAAAGTTGCATTGGGCAGCCAATATTTCAAAGAAGAAGAAAAATTATTCATCTAACAGTAACCATATATAGAATCTTTCCCTCTCTTTGTGTGTGTTTTTTCTTTGCTTTCTTTAATTTCTCCGTCTTTTTCCTTATTAGACTCAATTGGTACTTTATCTTCAAACTGGATAATGAAATGGATAAAGAATATCCTATATATCATAATAAAGACACTCATATTTTGTTTAGTTTTTTCTAATTAAAAAGATCTCATGAAAGTGGGTAGCTGAGAAACCATGTTCTTTGAATACTATAAAAGGTTCTGTTCTTCAGTCAATAAAATTTGCAATTTGGTCCGTGAACAGAAACCAGTTTCTTGAAGTTTATAATGTTTCAATGATATTTTAAAGAAAGCCGTTACTTAATCACTTTAATGAATTGTGCCTTATTTAAATACTAAATACAAACTTATATGCATGCCTGCATGGCTAATTATCTCATCATTCGTTAATAAACTTTTTTCATTTGACACGTCATAATAACTACTATTGTAGTGCAAATAAAGTCAACTGAATGTTAAATGTGATATTTGATAATGTTGAAATGGTCCTAGTACAGGACTATTCACACACTTTGGAAAAAGTATTATTATGGGCGCTACTAGTGATCCTGTAGGTACTACTTCACTCAGCTAGCTACAATGTACATTAAGTACGAATAATATAGCAGAATTATTCAATATATATATAGTCTTTTGCCTGTACGACCTCTTTACGAGTAGGGTTAGTTTTTATTCGTTAAATCATATTAAAATCAGATCAGATTAAATTGTATGCCAGACTAAATAATTTTTGATATAAATTTGGCGGCTGAAAAAATATTATCTTTTTAGTAGTTCATTTTTATTAATTAGTGTCTACCATAGACATCTCTCTATACATATACATATATATGTATATGTATAAATTTTTCACATGTAAAACCGGCTTTAGTCAAACTCATAGTCATCCTATTGTCACAATATCATAGAATCAAATTTATTCTTCTCCGGTTCATTATTTTGATGCTTTAGAAAAACTTGACGCGAGGTATATGATTTACAGGCCAAGTACTGTTAAGTCTAATAAAAACAAAATTATTATCATCATCATCCAAAAAGTTTTCTTCCCTCTAACCTAGCTGGATGGCAATCATAGAGAATTTACACAGCCAATGCCAAACCATCCATGACTACTTAACCATCTTATAATAATATAAAACATGTGGGATCTGTGTAAAGAACACGACTTTTACTGGTAAGAGATTTTTTAAATGTTAAAAAATTATTCTATAAAATATCATAATCTCGTCGAGTAAAATGATGAAAGGTATAATGATAATCAAGAAGTTCAACACCTTCCCCCGCAGACAGACAATTCACGGGGCGGCGGCGTGGTTTACCCTCTTCTTATTACTATATATTCTGTGCCTCAAGGGAATGCGATATAATGAAAACCAGTACGCGTTAAACATTTCTCTTAATTATTTTCTAATAAAACAAGGATCGTCGACTGTATTTTGGTTTTTAAATTGCCTTACCCAATTTTAATTTGTTTTTAAATTGCAAAATTATGAATATATTTTTGGATTCAAGAGTGTTGCTGATATATATCTTAAATTTAGTAGATCACTTGACTAGTCCAATATTTAATAATTTCTGTTACATTGTGGATTTTAGATACGATTGTAGTTCATTTATTTTATTAATATATAAATATTTTTCTACGATCATCATATTCTTAATTCATATGTTTCAGCTACTAAACTTTGACTTTTAATCGGATCTTTTTTATTGCTAGTTAGAAACTAATCAAGAACTCCTCTTTAGGATTTAATAAAATTTTCTGGTCTCAAGGTTTTTCTCTTAAATTCCTTGCATCCAGATTAGTATATATATATTCATAATTTATGTTAGACAGATAACAAAACATCTATCTAAATAAGACAATAGATAAAAATGTGATATGAATCTCAAAGACGAAATTAAGAATAATAAAACTTAAAAATGTGATATGAATCTCAAAGACGAAATTAAGAATAATAAAACTAGTACAAAATTATTCAAATATTGAACTAAAAACCTTTAAATTATACTGTTGGAATATTTTTTTTAATAGTGTTAGATGGAAGGAATGAAAATCAGAAATGAAAAGGTTGTATTGTTGGGGGTTGTTTTTCTTTTGAGAGGAGAAAAATCTAGGTGTTTAGAGAAAAATAAGAAATATCAATATTTCAAATGAAGAAAATTAAATGGCAATAATAATAAAATATTATTAGCAATTACGATTTTTTGAGATTATTCTCTATCTTTCCTAAAATACGATTAAATTTTAGAAGATTCACTAGCATACGCTAGAAAATATACACAACAAGTTGTTTTTCTAAATAAAAAAAAAAAAAAGAAAGAATTAGCAAGATGGGCCTTGGCTCATTGAGGGGCCCAAGGCAATCGCCTTCATGACCTTATCCTTGAGCCGCCCCTGTTGCGACTGTTGAAATTCAAACCTGTGAGACATTCTGAAAGGACTAAGGAGAAAGAAGGAAATACACATTTACTGTTGCATCAATACATTGATTAATTATTAAAAATTTCTCTTCATTAAAAAAGATAGTCTAAGCTAATATGATTAAGGTCTTGTTTATTTCATCGATTTGAGTTTTTAATTTTAAATTTTTATAATTAAAAATTTTTAAAAAATGTTATATTTAATTTTTTTTGTTATAGTTAAATTTTTTTTAAGAAACATCACATTATAACTCGAGTTAAAAATTTAAATTCATAAAGCAAACGAGATCTAAGCAACTTTGAGCGCTTGGAAACGTTTGCCAGCTCTTTTCAATATATATATATATATATTATAGGCTGTGAAATAACGTGGCAATGGACTAACGTAGTCAAAGAGTTTCATGGAATAGTCAAGTTGAACGACAAATCAAGAGTGACAAGTCAAACTGCTATTTTCAAAGAATGGGAAAGTCTTTGTAGAAGAGTTTGGCGGGCTTGATTATAATGGATAGGCAGAATTTTTTTAATATCAAGTGTGAAAGTGTGATGCCTATTACTCTACTATTTACTTATTTCAACTAAAATTTGGACATATTGTGTAAACTTAAATAAATCGTGAGTTAATGACAGCTGAAAAGTGACAATTTGGAGAGCCTTTTTCTGCCTAATTTCTTTTGTTTTATCTTTTGGCTGTGAGGTGAGAAAAAGACACATGCCTTTGAATTAATAAATTGTTTTTAAGAATGGGATTTCAAAGTCTTTTTTTTTTTTCTTGGTGAAGTCTTTCTTTAGCCTTTGTTAACGTGCCATTGAAGAAGCCCTTTATATATATATATATATTAAAAAAGCACTGTAACGTACCATCTTGTGTAAGTTTTTAGATTCGTTTAGTTCGTTGATTCGAGTTGAAATGTGATTTTATGTGAGAATTTTTTATTATAATAAAAAAGTTAGATGTGATTATTTTTGAGAATTTTTTACTGTAACAAAACTCGAATCAGTAAAATGAACGAAGGGCTTGTTCTTTTGAGTGAAAAACTCAAAAAAATGCAACTCGAGTTACAATTTTATTCGAGTTCATGTTCTTTTAAGTTTAAACTCGAGTTCAAACTCGAGTTTAGGACTAAAACGCGAGTTCAAGTTTCCCCTTCAACTCGAGTTCAGAAACTCGAACTCAAATTAATGAACAGTATTTTTTCTATTCTTAAAAATGCTATAACTTTTTCGTTTTAATTCTGATTGAGATGATTTTTTTTCTATACGTTGACAACAAAAAGACGAATAAAACTCGACCCATATACCCTATTAAAATTTTTCATCAGCATTGAGTTTTTATTAAAATACTATCTAAATATAAATTCAAGTTTTGACTCACTCAAACACAAACTCAAAAAGATTCTTATCTCAAACACAAACTCAAATGTACACAACCAAATACAAACTCAAATTACAAATTCAACTCAAGTTATAACTCAAATTCAACTTAAGAATTATACTCAAATTAAACTCTAAAAGAACAAGCCCGAAAGCTTATCTTTTGGGAAGAGATCTCATGAATTAATCCTTAAAAAAATAGGGGTCTAACAATCTAACCCAGCTCGTTGCTTTTTTGTGCCCGTTAACTTTTTTTTCCCCCCCTTTTCTTTTCCTTTTTAGTGACCAATTATGTGAAAACTCATGACTACAAATATAGTTAGAATGAGGATTTATCTAGAAAACCCGACTAATTAACCTTAGATTTCACGAGAAACATCTTTCTAAAGCATGTTTAAAACTCAATATTTATGGTAATTCGAGTCTGCAATGATAAAGTTGTTTCTCATGACCATAACAATTTAATAAACTGAAGGTAACAACCCTTGAAGTGTTTCATTTTCAAAATAGTACTACTTTCAATTCAATACAGTGGCGTGTTTACTGGTTACTACTTTACGCAGACCAATGTGAATGGTCCAAATCTCCTCAAGTCTATCCTCATGCATAAGTACTATTCTATCGACCTTTTCTAACAAAAAATTACTATTATATGTCATTCAATTTGCACCAGTTGTCAAACAGTCAAGGTAATAATACCATGTAGCTTTGTCGGCCAAACACTTGAAAATCATAGACAAGTATATCATATAATTGTAAACAACTCCTCAGAAACAATTTTGTAAACAAATAATAATTGATAACAGTACACAGAATTTTCCTCACATATATACACAATTTAAACACAAACAACTTGATCAGAGGACAAATAACCAGAAGAAAAAACACCTATGAGTTAGTGTTGTTAATGTAATGATGCTTTTTTTTTTCCTTTTCAGGATGCGCTCAAAGTTCGATACTTCACAGTCTCATTTTACGACACTTACTTAATTAATGTGTTGTGTGGCATTGAGTGTGTGATGACATTTAAAATTGGACTCATCTTTTGAGTAGAATTGGATTAGATCCTTTCCATTCTATTAGTGGGCTCGAGATTTTGAAAGTGGCGTAAAGAATGAAAAGCGGGATGACAACAATAGAACCTCTTTTTGATTCAGCCAAAGAAGACAAGAAACATCTGGAAACTCTACATATAGAGAATGAAAGTACTAAACCATGTACTAGTAATCTTCCAAAAGAGTCTTTCAATGTGGGGTTTTCCCTATCTTGCTAATGGAGTTGTCACAGAATCCATGTTCACAGAATCAGTATAAATGGAAGATAATTCAAGTGTGCTGCTATATGAATGGAAGTGGAAATTATGTGCTTGTCTAATTGGAGCTCTTTCTATATCCTTTGACAGCTCTATTTCCAAACACTGTTTAAGCTCTGCCAACACATAACTCATTGTGGCTCTTTGTTGGGAATGTGAAGTTGTGCATGCCATTGCCACTTCTAAGGTTTTGCACACAGAATTCACATCAAAATTCTCTTGTAGCCTTTGATCCACAATACTCTTTATATCCCCTTGTTCAAGTTCACTACTCACCCATTGTATTACGTGGACGGTTTCATCGGTTTTGATGATTGCTGGTTGGCCTGTTATTAGCTCTAGCAGAACCACCCCAAAACTATAGACATCACTTTTCTCAGTCAGTTTTTGTGAGCTATAGTACCTGCATAAGTGTATAAAACTTCACTCATCAGTTCTCAATATAAATAAAAAAAAAAACAGAGAGAAATTCTAATTATTTAGGTGTAGGAGATATATTGGAGTTTTCACACATGAATTTCAACTGCCCTTAATTACATTTATATTGGGGGGTCGATCTTAAATTAAGGTCAAAGAGAAGAACATGAGATGTGTGATTCTCTATAATCTTTTTCTTCATTATAGTAAAATTTTAGGGCGGTAAAAAGTGAATATAGCTCACATAAGAATCAACTACTATAATTTAAAAAAAAAAAAAAAAAAAACACACACACACACACACACACAATCTTGTGTTATGTTTATTTGTTTTCATTTATATTATTGTTCTCAATAATAAAGAATTATGGGCTTAACGTATATAGCACTAAAATAACTGAAAAAATGTATTATAGAAAATTATTTTGTCGTACTCTGGATCAAGATATCCTGCCGTTCCCATGACTGTAGTTTCCACATGGGTGTCGTTGTCATTGGCAAAAACTTTAGAGAGACCAAAATCTGCTATTTTAGCATCCAAGTTTTCACCTAACAAAATGTTGCTCGTCTTCACATCTCTGTGTACAACCGGTGGCTTGCAGCCATGGTGCAAGTACTCTAGTCCTGTGAGGCAAATATTTAATATCAGGAGATTAATTAGAAAAGTAACACTAGTATAAAATGGATGCTTAGTACAAGGGCTAAAAAAAAAAAAAAAAAAAAAAACCCATGTTTAATCAAAACGCAAGAATCTACCATGTTTTTAAAAAATATGCTAAGATTGTTCCTTGTGTTATTTTAATGGGACAAAACCCACTCTTATGTTGTTATAATCACATAAAATTAACTCATGATGTCAGATTTAAACAAAATTAGCTGTTCGAAGAGACACAAGTATCCCTTATAAAAGAAATGATGGCGCTCCAAGTGAAAAATCTTATAGGCATGGGCGGACCCACACCAATCTGAGGGTAGGCCGCCGCGCCATCTAAACTTTTTAAACTTTAAATTTTGTGTGTATGTTTTGTAAAAATTCGTAGTATACCCATCTTAAAATAAGAAATTATATATATGTCCATTTTTTTAAAAAAATTGAAATTATATATCCACCTCTCCGCACTTATTTATCTTATGCACAATCTCATATGTGAGGGCAGGGTCCATAGAAACTTCATATGCTAATAGAAACATGAAAATATTGGTTACAATTTCCATGCCTAATTTTGCTAATAAAAACTGGATATGCTAACCTTGTGCAGCATCTAGTGCTATGCGAAGCCTCATTTCCCAACTCAACTGTGAACTTTTATCTGCAATTGTCAAATATAGCAAAACACAATTCTTATATTTTGAATGATCAAATATCAATCTTTAGATGTAAGAAAGATGATACTTTAATATCAGAAGAAGTACCTGAAAGATATTGTTTTAGGTTTCCATTAGGCATGTACTCGTATATAAGCGCCAACTTGTTACCATCATCACAGTATCCAACAAAAGAGGCCAAGTTTCTGTGATGTATTCTCATCAACAGCTCTACCTGCAATCACAAGAATCCCATATTAGATTTTAGCATTTCGCCTTACATTCAAAGGAAAATCTAAAAATTATGGTCCGAATCTTATGATGATACAACAAATACACCAAAGTTTGAACAAATAGAAAAAAAGTATCCTATATTTTTTGAATCATCTAAAAAGTATTCTTCGCGCTGAATTCTGGTAAAACTGACAAAAAGTACGAAGTTGCCCTAATCAATCACGTATTACTGACCAGAATTCAACGTGCTGCGTAGGATAGGGCGACATTAGATAGGATAGTCCGGCAGGGATTTTTTTTTTTTTTTTTCATTTTTATTTTTTTAGTGTAAACGTGAGAGCGTTTTCGTGTTTTGATGAAAATCAGGGCATATTTTGAGATTTTCGCTAATGACGAGCAAAAATCTCTCACACTAGATATCTAATAATGGAAAAATGTGTCACAAACCTCAGTTTGGAATTCCCTAGGACCTTGAGATGATGATGGAGATAGCCTTTTTATTGCAACTTGGGTGCCATCCTTCATATAGCCATGGTACACCACCCCAAATCCTCCCTTTCCTATTTCTGTTTGGAAGTTTTCGGTAATTTCCACAACCTCAGCATAACTATACTGGCTCTTCTTTATTGATACATGTCTTCCTTGTTGTCCAAGGATTACTTCTTCTGTGGATTAAAAAGTGATAGAAAAACAGTTTTATACCTTCAGAATTTATCTTTCAACGGTCTAATGAACATCTCATACCAATCCTTGAACAAGTTCAAAACCTGATTTTTTCTTTCTTGTTTGTTTCCATATGATGATCAATACGATGAGGAGGACAAATGCTGATGCCAATGATGCAACTATGGGAGTAACAATATTCTTCTTCTTTTTGCACGAACCCGAGTTACAAAGATTTCGACTATCCACACTGAAATTTAAAGGAAAAACAATTAGACCATGTTATGTATATACACTCTCACCATACTCCCGTTTTTCTTCCAATTTATTACCTTAACAAAAGTGAACCATCCTCTGATCTCTCCAAAAGAGCATTGGGAACAACACCAGACAACTGGTTTCCTTTCAAACTTCTGCATATCAATTGTCAAACAATGACTAATTGATGTTAGAGCTACAAGTGTTTAGCGAGTACTATCATAATCACATTATTCCACCATTTCAGGACTTACAATAACTTGAGAGATTTTAGATCTTCCAGGAATTCGGGAATTGGTCCGGTTAAGTTGTTGTTGGAGAGGTCCCTGCGGAATGAGGCAATTTGAATTATGAGATGTTATTTATAATCGCTTAGTGAAGATGAAGTTGTGAAACCAAATAAGTAGTACTTACAAGGATTCCAGAAATGAGAGCTTGGAAATAGAGGAAGCTATTGATCCACCCAAATTGCTTGAGCTCAAGTTTCTATTCACAAGAAAGGCCAATTCTTTTGAGAAAATGAAAAGGGATGGTTTTGATGAACATCAATCAGATTAGTAACTCTAGAACAGTGACTAGGAACTGCTTACAAGGAAATAATCCGAAGTGAAGAATTGTGACTGCATTTCACGCCTTCCCAAGAGAAATTCTTTGGCCCACAGGGATCACCTGCCCAGTTCTTGACAATTCCATATGTTGTTTTGACATTCTCTATAGCATCAGCTGCATACATTGATATACAAAGTCAAAGCAAATCATAACACCTTTAACTATTTGGTAATTGTGCCAGCTAAGACTATATTCTGAAGCAACTTTGAGTTATGAAGGAGGTGAAACTGGAAAAATTCGGGAAGTAGTTATACAAGTTTTCCAATAGAATTATACCTTAATGTCTTCTCTCAAGGCGTTAATTATGAAAATTATTAGGATAGATGGTGTGTATAGTTTCTTGGATTTAAGGTTTGCACCATATATAGTTTCCTTGTTTGCCTTAATGGTGTGTATTTAATTGACTAAAACAACTAGGAATACCCTTTTTCCCTTCTAAATCATCTCTCTTAGTTAACATCAAATCCTAAATTATCATCACATTTAGGAGAGTGGTGTGAGTTTTTGAAAAATGAAAGTAGATCCATAAACTCACTATCATCACTATATGTTTGTGATTCATTCTTCTGTTTGGCCATGTAAATCTCGACAGCATTGAGGATTGGTGGATGAGTAGAGTCCTCCGTTTTACGAATAGAAATCTGGTGATCTTTCCCAACCAGGGCTCTTGAATTCGACACTGACGTAGCATACAAGTAACGAGGGCTCAAGGGTCCAAACAAAGGAGTTCCATTCCAAGTTACATTGAACTTTCTTGACTGGTTTCTCCCAAGTTCCTCCACTTCAGCAAAGTGCATGTAAACATAAAATCGAGAGCTCGAATCAGTTGTATTCCACTTCAGCTCTAAAGATCCATCAGTAGTTTGAGGCTTAGCTCCAGTCTTGATTACTTCCGAAGGAACTCTATATCCATTTTCATAGTTGTTTACCGCTGAAGAAGTGCTGATTGGATCCCAAGTTGTGGAAATATATGGGGACCAGATTCGGTCATAGACATCGTCTTCATACCGACCTGTCCCATTGGTCTTCCCGATATCCAATCTCTCAAAGAGTACTAGTGAAGCATCGATTCCAAACTCGGTGTCATATACTGAATTGTTCAATGGCCTAAGCTCCAATGCTGATATGAAAGGAGTTCCCAAGCCTTTGTCCACAAGACAAATGTGTATTGTATCTTTTAATGCCATGCTGATAATCTCAGTTGTGACAATCTCAGAGACATTGCTGAATTTCACTGTGTACCAAAGATTGACATCGAGATAAAGATCGAATTCAGGTGGCTTGTTTTCTCCGTCGTAGTTTGCATATAAGAAGAAGGCTCTAATGAGATTCTTAGTGCCATTTCCATCTGCGGGTTTCAAGGTGTAACAGTTCTTGTTTCCTTGAGGAAAAGTTCTGAGATCTGAAAGAGGTAATGGTAGATTGAGATTGTTTGGATATGCATATTCAGAGGAAATGTTCCTGTTTATTCCTGTCTCTATGAAAGCACCATCCGGAGAATATGTTATGCCGGTGTCGGTGTCTTCGTAGTTAAAATTCGAAGGAGAGCCACAATCAATGCTTATGAATCCTAAAGAAGTAACAAAAACTAAGATTAGTTCAATAACCAAAGTCAACTCCTTTCCATAATCAAGAATTGAATTATATGACTTGTTAGATAAAACCTTACAAAAGTTCATCAGAAAAAAGGTGGGAGAATATCATGATGATCACAATGGTTTCAAGCAAATGGAAAACAACCTCTTAAGGAAATTGATTTCATTGCACCAATAAACTTCATACTATATGAAAACAAGAAGTAAAAGGAAAAAATGGCTAAACCTGTTTGACGCTGCCCATGAGCCAAAGTTGCAGATAACAGCAAGAAAAAGCCAACTACAATCTCCATCTTCCTCTTTTGCTTTGACATGTTCATCATTCCCAATGCAAAAATGTCAGCACAAACATGATAGACATGGATATTGCACAGTTAATCTAAAAAAATGTAGAACTTGGTCAATCTTGTTATCAAATATATCTACTCACAGTAGTGCCAAGGAAATAAGGTACAGTTAAGGTTACGTGAACAAGTACCTAAACGCAGCTGGGTTTTTTTTTTTTTTTTTTACACGTGAGAAAATGGTATTAGGCCGGTATGACCATGGTTTTGAGGCGTGCTTCATTTAAGTACAGTATTATTATACCACTTGAACTTGTTGACCTCCATTTCTGGTATAGAATAATTTAGATTCTTTATGCATTAAGGCACCCCAAGACTTTTCAACTTTGATCAGTAGATGGAAAGGCAATACTGTCGGCCAAAACAATGGAAAGTGAACAACCATAGCACTTTTTTTTCAAGAGTCAAATTACGTCTTATCACAAAAATTAAAAACTTTTATTTTGAAAAAAAGTTATATAATTGTCGAATTAAGAACTTGTTCTTACCTGCCAACATCTCTAATTACATTTTGTTAGTTTGATAGAACGCTGCTTGGTAGTAATTGTTGATTGCTAATTAAATATATACAAGTAGCCTTTCAAAGGGGAGAAAAGAGAGAGAGAGAAATAGAGTTTATGTTTGGTAGGAAAAAAAAGTAGAAGGAAGGAAGAAGGTGGAGGGAAAATGAAAATGTAAGTTGTTTGGTAGGAGAGAAAAGAGAAAGAAAGAGAAAATAAAGTGAAAAATAATACATGTGGGTCCTACTATTTTTTTTCCTTTTCACAAGTGGACAGAAAATGGGATGAAAAATAGGGACAACTCATTAAAGTGAGCAAAGTTACTAAACTACCATTTTCTCCATCAACATCCATGCAAAAAATTTAAGGGTATAAAAGTAATTTACGAGTAAGATTTTTTCTTTTCTTTCAATTTAACTTCCAATATCAAACAAGTGAATGTAAGCTCATTTTCTTTCCAACTTCTCATACCAAACAACATAAAAGAAAATCAATTTCCTTTCCATCATTGCTATTTTACATCACTTTCATATTTTCTTTCTATCCTATTTTCTTTCCTTCCTACCAAACATAGAAGGTGGTATAGATTTTCCAGCTGAGTGGTTCAATGAGACAAATTTCTTTTAAGTCACGCTCTTTTCATAACTCACATTTTTTACTACATTTTTCTTTCACAAAAATTTAAATTTAAATTTTTTTTACTACAATATTTTCTCTCATATAATTAGATTTCATTATAGGTCAAATTTAATTATTGTAATCCTCGTTGACTCTTTGAGATTAGAAACAAATTATAATCCCGAATTCCCATAATTCTATAATTTAACAATTTGGTAGCCATCGCATTATTGTAATTGCAAAAAAGTCAACTATCCAACGAAAAATAGTTTTCATCTTTTGCCAATAACAACGAAGATAGTTTTCGATTTTTGTTTTTATTCTTGTCTTTTGGGCACTTAATGTTGCTTTCCATTCAAAGTCGTCTTATTAGCCTATTGGTGTCTCCAGTTAATGTCATTGTCCTCTTTATCGTCGTTTGTCAAGTCCATGTCGTTTTATGATTATGATTGTTTCCGATCGTTGTCGTTTTCTTAAGCTTCTGTCGTTTTAGATTTTATGTCGATGTTGATCTTGATATTGTCGTTTTCCCGTCAATATCGTTTTCTAATTGCCTTTTTTTTTTTTGAGTAAACGTTTTCTAATTGCTTATCGAATCCTCCC